TGTAAACCCAACGCCAACCATCGGCCAACGGTCCAACCATTAGCCAACGTTGGGCCAACGTAGTCATGCTATCTGGGATGTACAAGGACATGGGAAGGAATTCCATCAAATTGCCAAAATGGACGGGTAATCATCAGAGATTAAGCAGAAGTACTACAATCATTAAACAATTTTGATAATAGTATCGCACTAAATGATTCCATGTGTACAATGTTTGTACAATGTAGTCTCATTTTCCCCAGACTCTCGCTCTCGAGACTTTGCCCGAGCGAGAGTCTGGTCTGATTCCTATTTAATTTTTGTAACCAGTAGAGGTCGCTAAACCGGCTATCAAGATGGCGACTCTCATGAAAATACATGTGAGAATTATTCTTTAAACAAAGATATGTGCGTTTTTTGTTCCTTTCCTAATGTAGATTTTCCGCCACTTCCATGGAATTCCAAAGCATATTCCATGGAATTCCATGGAATTTTTGTTCCGCAGAATTCTTAGGAATTCTCCGGAGTATTGGGACGGAGCTTTTTTCGGAATGATTTGGAATTTTTAATCTAGCCTGGAAAAGAGCGGAACAATGCCAGAATGGAAATTTGCGGAGGAAATCCATGGAATTCCAGGATATTTGTAAATCTAAGGAATTCCATGGAAATCCATGGAATTCCAAATTCCAAATACATGTACAATGAAAACTGAAATAATTAGTGCCAAATAATTACAAAAAAAACTTGATAACACCAAAATTTTTCATAGATCAAATCTATATTTTCAAAATAAAAAATTCATTGTTTCTTTTACAATGTTTTTTGAGACAAATATTGCATATACGAGGGTTGTCCCATAAAAACGTGGACAAAGCGTTTTTCTCGAAAAGTAATGGGCGCACTAAACTGAAATTTTCAGTAAATGTTTATTCATCATATTTAAGTGAATCATAATGTTTTTGATAATATATATTCATAAATAAAGATTTTCTTCTGCTTGAATGTGCACAAGGTACGGTCCTACGGCGCACGGTAAAAATAGCAAGGTTATATTAGACAACACATAAAAATTAATTCGTAATAAAAGTTTTCAATACATAAGATTAGGATGAAAATTATCCTAATTCCATTCCTTAATCAATTCTGTCGTCTTTTTAAAAATTTCAAGGCATTTGGTTGATTTTTAGCAGTTTCCCGAGCATTTGAAATGGGAAACTAATAAACACAATGCACGAAAAATGGCGAGTTTTTATGACGTTACGGCGCACCGGAGAGCAGTTCAGATAGATTAGGATGTGGTAATGACGCCTTAAGAGACTTTAAATGAATACAGAAGAAAGAAAATATGAAAAATATCCCCAGATCTTTAGTATATAAATGAAATGAAAGTTTTCTTAGTGAAGTCTTCGTGGTCGAGTCCCCAGATAGTACAAAACATATGGACAGACTGCCATTTGAAATAGCAAAGGAAGCTGTCACTGTCGACCGTCGATGTGAGATTCTCTTTTAATTGAATGATGGTGAGAATACTGTCTGTAACTTGCTAATAAATATTCAGAAGATCGCATGAGTGTGCCACATTGGTTTCTTAACTGGTTATAGATACTCACATATGTAAATCAATAAAATTTCTAAATTTAAGTGGGGCTTATCCAACTTTAAGTTTAGCAAAGATGAAACGTGACGCTGTTTTAGACACTTTGACGTTATCATCCGTGCGCCGTAGGTCGATACAGTACATAACATAAAATATCACAATTTGTTTACCTATGCATATATCTATTTGAAATTTGCTATGTATATTCATAATTTATCTACTAAAAAGTGGTGAAAATTTCAGAACGCAGTGATGATTATTTTTCAAAATAGACAACTTGTCCACGATTTTACGGGACAACCCTCGTATACTCTCAGATGTACAATATAAGCACACTTTTTAAATGTATTCTCACTGAAAGTATTTTACATCAAAGGTTATTTACAAAAATATCCAGAGAAGAATATGATTACTGGAGAATCACTTTAGTTAAATTAATGATAATCATGTTAAGATATACATGTATTTAGTAAACTCCAGTCTGCATTTTCTAAAATAAGAAGTTAGTTTTACTAAATGACATTGGACATGGAATTGGAGAGGTCATTGAAACAGAGTATACATTTACAATGAACTGCCAGTGGCTTATGTACTGGTACAAAGTTAATGACTAGAGTGACAAATACATGTATTAAATGCAAAAAATATGTACTACACAACTATATTGATACAAACATCCCATAAAATCAACAGATGCTAAAGTATTTTCCCCCAACGTACATGCCAAAGATCCCAATTACCGGTAATGAAGATCCAAAACCTCTGACGTGTTTGCTAGAGAATCACTTCCTCACTGATATCCCATGAAATTAGTAAATGGTTATGTTATAGGGTTGACAGATAATTGGTGTCACGAATGCATTCACTTTCAGTACGAAGGCTCAGAAAGTTGGATAATGATCATTCCCAGTCCCACAGACACTTCAAACTTTCCTTGCACAATTTCTGAAAGAAAAGATAACCATTAAGATGCATCATTATTGATATCCATATAAATATATGACAAATAATAAACTAAAGCTATACAAAACAATTGGTTCTTTCAACCTGGCAAATCAGTCTACTGTAGAATATGAATTCATTATCTTGCAATTTTTTGTTCAAATTAGGATTAATTCTGATAAATGTAAAAGTAGGAAAAGTTTATACACGACAGACAACATCAGCCACTGATCAAAAAACTCACTTAGGCCTTAAAATGGTTCAGGTGAGCTGATCCTGAAAAAGATAATTTCAATTCATGTGATTTTATTGATTTAGAAAATAATTAAGAAATCTGACCTTTTGGGGTTTTTTGTCATACAGCTCTTGTCCTTGTGAGCATCCAAATTCCTGTAAAATGCATGTATACTTCATAGTAGATGATTGCTGTTTGATCTAAAATAATTATGCATGCCTGTGCAGTTAGCATGTTTAGATTATCTGTCAGAATTCATTGTTTTAAATTATTAGAATAAGGAATTTAAGCGTGTTAAGAATATAAACCTTTAAATTTTGTTTACATTGCAAACTTGCAATAATTTTTTTAATCTTATGCTAATAGACATGGATTAATAAAATCAAAGTTAGTTTACTTGGTTTGAATGATAATTTGAGCTAGTTCTCACCATTTTCACAAGCCTAGTGACTGATTGGCTAAGCATCTACATCCACCAACTTGTCCAAGTTATCAAACGCCATCGCTGTGGGGATCATCTCAGGCACAATGCAGCAACTATAAAATAATTAAAATAAGAGCTGAAAATGATCATGAACATGCATTAAAAATATATAATTAATTACATTGTACATCATACTCTGTAAATGTTATCTTGAACAAAGGAACGTATAGGTAAAATTCTTTACATCAGTTCGATCACAAACGAGGAAATTCGAGTTAAAATCCATGATCTTAAATTATTACAAAATTGAAATAGTGCACTAACGATTTCACCGTCGGGCAGTTTATGTGTGGTGTCCAGACTAATGAACAGTAGCAGAAGCGTTCTTCATTCAAGGACACATAAAATACCAGGGATCACTTTGGGCTGCGCCTTTGCGCCATTGGCGCTCAATATTTGTAAATGGCGCACTAAAAAATTAGAAAGGGGTCAGTCTGGCGCATGTCTTACAGATATGGCGCTATAAGATGCAAAATTGTATGTCGAAACTCTTATCTTGGTGCGATTTAGGACCGTTTTCAAGCTGACCAATTGTATTCATGACGTATCTGAGCATACTGTTACTCGTTCAATCAGACTCTTTGTAGCCGCGTATGTCGGAATCGTACTTGGAATATTTCCTTCGTTTAGATTACGTACGCTACTAGAATTTTTTTACCGAATACTGAGTCAATGATGTTTATTAAAATTATATGTAAATTAAATGATTTAAATAATGAACACTTGAAAGTAATACTCAACTATGTAATATGTTCTAATATTTCTTAAAACTTTGATTATTTATTTCGTAAAAAAAAAAGGACAAGTTACTCATCGCGTATCCAGACACTTGCCCGAAATGCCTCCAAAGCGAAGATTGGTATTGGGCCAAATGACCCAAAACAACGAAAGCTTTCGTTTGTTTTACAAATAAAACGACGGAAACTTTTTCATTCCCAGACTCGGCAGAGGTCTCTGATTAAGAAGAACAGTCCAAGACGTTGACTCCTGATGTCAACGGTAACGATGGTCGTCATTACTCGTTTCCAGTCCAAGTGGCTAACTTTGCATCCGTGGTTGGAATTTGATCAGATGGGACTAAGATGTTTTGCAAACAAATAAAAAGTTTCTCATTTAAGTTTTTTGCTCCGAGTTCTTTGCATACAAAACCAGTCCCTACCATTTGAACCAAATTTAATCTGCAACTGCCCCAGGTCTATTCAGTAGAGAAATGTGCATGTAAGTTTGCATCCTTTATAGTGTAACAGGAAAGGAGAAAATGTATGGCTGGACCGGGAATCGAACCCGGGACCCCTGCATCTCTAGTCAGGTGCTCTACCAACTGAGCTATCCAGGCCGATATCCACGGCCCTAACCATTACATTCCTCCCTCCTTAAAGGTCTTTGGCCCTCCAAAGACCCCAACCCAGGCTCATCCCTGGCAGGTCTTTCACCTGTCAATTCCAGGGCATGGCACGGCACCAAATCTGTAACAGGAAAGGAGAAAATGCATGGCTGGACCGGGAATCGAACCCGAGACCCCTGTATCATCAGGGATTTATCAAGGCTGTTTTTACTACCGGTAAACGGTACCTTTCCCCTCTTGAAAAAGATGCAAAAATTCACCTTTTTCAGGTAGAAAATTCTCCGATTAAACGGAGAATATTTAAAACATCATTTTGAAATTTTCCGTTTTTGTCCGATTGAAGTTTAACAGCATATCCTAATTTATCATCCTAGTCATTCAAACGTTTCTAAGAGAGAATAGATTATTCAAGCTTTTATTTGATATTGATCGATAATCATGTGCCAAGTCCATGATGTCGAAAGATACGTATGCGATTGCAGAGTTAAAAAGAAAAGTGTAGATGAGTAAGATGGAGCTTATATCACTATGAATCGGAAGAATGGAGTAACAACAAAAACAATGTTAGTAGTGAAACCCCTTAACATGAAAAACAGAATTGATTTGTGATAGATATTCAGAGAAAATATTAAATAAAGCACTGACCTGGTTTAAATTTTTTTTGTTATTAATATTTTGTCTATAAAGTGAAGTTTTTGTGGCCTTTGTAAAGGTCTACAAATGACCCTCAGAAGCTCTAAGAATGCAGGATTTTGTTCCATTTATTTAAAAATTTTCCGGGGGGCATGCCCCCGGACCCCCCTAGAATACTCGCGCCTCCGGCGCTCAATTCCAGCTTACGCGGAAATATCAAATTAAATCTCACATGTTACTTATCGTATATGAGATATATAAAGATAAGAAGACTATTTTCTACCATTCTCTCATAAAAAAGTAATAGTGAAGGAATAGTAGAGGAAACTACATGTGTGAGAATCTATCTATTCAATACATAAGTAAGACGTACAAATATTTATTCTCGGCAAACGTTTATCCTCTCTTTCTCTCTCTCTCTCACCACTTGGCAAAAAATAAAGGGGGGGTTCCAACCCCCGGAACCCCCCCTCTGGATCCGCCAATGTTATACACCATGTGCATGCGAGATGCTTAATATGTCTAAAAAAAAAATACTTGCGTTATCTATGTGCTAAGTACAAAATATTTAATTCAATCAAATGCATTTAGCATTTTAGTTCAGACTAAAAAACATAAGGTCCATCATTAACAAGCTTTATGCAAACAGCCTGTAAAATAAAATTCAAAATAACACATTGACGCCGATTACATGTATTATAGAACATAGAAACTGGTAAAGAATTATTATACATGTACACGATGATTAAACTGCTTAAGAATATTTATTTACCGTTCTTTCTTTTCTAGCTTTTCTCCACTTTTTTTAAATCTAATAACATGAATAAAGACGATTGTTTTTCATACGCCCGATTTTAGAATTGGGGGGAAATATCAACAAAATAATTGAGGAAGTAAACAAATATTAAAATCAAAATTCAATTTTCATTTTCAGCATCGATAAACAGGAACGTAATATCGCTATAAAATATAAGCGGGCAGCCAGATTTTTTTTTTAATAATACACCTCCCCCCTGACAGAGAGAGAGAGAGAGAGAGAAGCTAAAAAATGACTTCAAACGTAATACCATTTTTGTTGGTTAAAACTTTTCACACATACAAATTTCGTTAATATAAGTACATGTATACTTCAAGATACAAGGGATGTCCTTTCAGTGAACAATTTCAACAGTAAAATGATTATGTTCGGACCCCCCCCCCCCTTTCCTCTACAACGTAATTGATTAAAATTCTGTTCCTGCATATCGGTCGTCCGGATCCGCCTTTGAGGACATGTTTTAGTTTCTCTGTCGTTTGTAGAAAATCTTTCTCTGATTGGATAAAATGATATTTCGTTTCTTTCAATGACAATGTTATCAGGCACCTTTATAACATTGGAGGGGGTGAGGATATTCAGAATTCTTTCCTTCTTAGTTTTAAAATACAGTCACCACCTCCGTGTACTTTCCCTTGCAGTAACAGAATCACTACATGATTAGGATATTGTATTCATATTTTCTGTTGAAAATACATGTACATTGTCTGTCTCCAATCAGACTTATGCTTGTCAAAGTTTTTGGTGTTTTTTTTTATTTTTACTTGCTATGCCCTCCCCCTTTACATACATTCTTTTAAAATTACTCAATGCTCGATTATTGTTCTAAAAACCTCAATGTTTCAAGTAATCAAAAAAAAAAAAATAGTTAGGGCTTATTGTAATTAAAAGAAATACAATACAATCAATTTAACTCAATATAAAAGGGGGCAGCACAAATTTGCTAATGTCAACATTGTCCACAACTAAAAGAAGGTGAGGATTTTTTCTGTATCTTTGTATTTTTTCCACATTCAATTTGATTCAGTAAAGAGTAGAAATTTATCTCAAATTGAATCTTCTTGACATTTCACAGTAAAATACGTAATCTCTGTATTGCAGCAAAGGTGTGATGGACTTGTATAATACTTATGAAAACATTGCAAAATAAATACACATTTAGGGTGTTTTTTTCCGGATTTCCGGTATCAAACTTGTTATGATTGATAGTATCACACATAAATATAACAACACAATGAAACTCTGATGTGATCATTTTATCATTTGCCTCTACATGTATTCAAATTAAAAGAAAAAATATGTTGAATAACTGTTACTTCTACTTAAAAATATGTAGGTGTAAAACAATGATACATGTGAAAAAATTATTCCAGTTAAACAAGAGTGACTTCTTTTGGGGGCTCATTTTGTCTCTGAAGATCACATCCACTGTTTTTGTCTTTGAAGACCAAATCCACTTTGATGGTAGGGTGCACGTGCTGAGTGATTGAAACAGTGATGCTGACATTCATACATTTCTGTTTAGGTAGAAAGGTCCTTCAAAAATCAGTCTGAAAAATAAATTAATTGTGATAAATGCATGTACTTCTCACACTGTCTATTTACTTATACACACTTATAAAAAACATTAGTCATTTATGCATCTAAATTATGAATAACAGATACATATAAAATTCTAAATGTAAGGCATTCCAACAAATTAGCTATATATACCGTTCAAAAGTTATGGCCAAGGTTAAAGTTTTTTCACAAGTAAGGAAATCTACAAGGTCAAGGTCAAAGGGTCAAGGTTGTTGGTATCCAGTGAAAGGTCTTTTAACAAACATTACATATGTGAAGTATAAATGTCCTGGTGTCTACTGTTCAAAAGATATGGCCAAAGTAAAATTTTAAAATTTTCATGTAAAAGTGGGTCAAACTCCAAGGTCAAGGTCAAAAGGTCAAATTTGGTGGTACCCAAAGAAAGGTCTTGTCGCAAGGAATACACATATGAAATATGAAAGTCATAGCTCAACTAAATCAAAAGTTATGGGCAAGGTTAAAGTTTTTGCGGACAAACAGACAGACAGACACGACAAAAACTATATACCCCCGAAACTTCGTTTTTGTACATCAAATGAGTTATTAAACATATAAAATGGTAATGCTTTTTTCTTTTACATGTAATAAATTTTTTTGATAGATTTTTAAAAGAATTCGCATTATTTCACATTGCTTCCTTTAGAAAAGTTAGGGAATCTTAAAGTTTCCCAGTAATTTCCACAAGGAATGGGACTCCAGATAATTCCACCAAGTTTCCGCCACACAGAAAGTGCTACACAAGTTCCATATAGTTTCCTGAGTCAAGGAAACTTCAGGAATCATAAGGTTTCACGAGCTTCCATGTAGTTTCCCATAAAAGAAAACCTTAAGATTCCATCAAGTTTCCATTCCATGGAAACCACTACGCTCATATTCCGTATGGTTTCCTGAGTCGAGGAAACTTTATGAATCGTTAGGTTTCTCGAGCTTCCATTTAGTTTCTCGTATAATGAAACCTAAAGATTCCATCAAGTTTCCATTTCACGGAAACCACTAAGTTCCGATACCATATGGTTTCCTGAGTCAAGGAAACTTAAGAATCGTGAGGTTTCCCGAGCTTCCATGTAGTTTCCTGTAAAAGGAAACCTAAAGATTCCACCAAGTTTCCATTCCACGGAAACCCCCTACGCTCCGATTCCATCAAGTTTCCTGATTCTGGAAACCAGTGGAATCTTCAGGTTTCCCATTACGGGAAACTACATGGATGTTCGGGAAACTTCAGGTTTACAGAGGTTTCCGTGGTTCGGGATACCTTATGGAATCGGAGCGTAGGGGGTTTCCGTGTCACGGAAACTTGGCGGAATAACCTGGCATCCGCTACGGAAACCACTGGGAAACATGATGTAAACTTGAGGTTTCCATGTGGTTTCCATAAAGTTTCCCATGATGGGAAACCACTTTTTTCACCCAGTGTAGATAATAAACAGTAAACACAATGTCATGCACATGTAGTTGCATGGTTACAAAACTACATCATGATATTATGAATGATATCAGAAAACAAGACATTTACGAAACACTGATGCCCTGCATGGCAGCTTATGGCAAAGATTGAAAGTTTTTCAAATGCAAGTCAAAATCCAAAGGTTAAGGTTAAATTTGGTTGTACCCGCAGAAAGGTATTTGGATTAAGAAATACATATGTGAAATATGAAAGCAATAAACCCACACATCCAAATGTGAGCTGCATTAAAGATTTTGTGGACAAACAGGCAGACAGACAGAGAGACCAACAGATGCACAAACAGGGCAAAACATATATACTCCAAAATCTCAGAATATGGGGGCACAACAAGTCAAATACAATTCATTACGATGTAACATTTTCCTGATTTACTCAAGCTTACTTTATACTAAAAAAAATAAAACTGTGGTTAGTGTAGGGATATTACAATGTATGACATTTCTTTTTAGTCCTTTAATCTAATTAAAGAGTTTTTACTTTATTTACTTTTGTTGTATTTATTGTAATTTTCAGTATTCATAACTGTTACATCATTATATTTGTGAACTGATAGAAAAAACCTCATTTTAGATTTTTTTTATCTTAGAAAATGAGATTCAGAATTTCATATATCAGAACAAAGAAGAATTTATTTTGAAAAATTTGAATCGTGACATTTAGCATAAGCATTGGAACTGGAAGGGCGGGGGCTTAGCCCCCCTTTTTTTTTGCAAATTTTAAATACTATAGACATTAAAAACATATAGGCATTGAAAATTGGAATTTAACCTTTTTTGTTGGTTAAGCTCCCCCTTTTCAATTTGCTTCCATGTTTTGATATGAATCATGATACAGTTTAAGTGTATCATGACATAACACAATTAACATCTAGCCATACTGTTGTTTATAAATATCATGCACTTCCTGATCTGTCCTAAATTTGATACTGTTTTGTGTGTTGAAGGAGATTATGATATTTGAATTTTTTACCTTCAATGTGATAATAAGGCAGTATCTGTCACAGTCATGAGTGCCTTACTGTGGTCAGAAAGCTGGATCGATAAAGCACCACAGTCATATACTAGTATTTAAAGCCTTGGGTGACATTGTAGTCATATCCTGGTGTTGTTCTCTCCCTTCCCTATTAAAAGCAAACTTTAGTTTACTTCTCTATTATAATAGATTCTTCATTTTCAATTCCTCAGTAGAAAATATGTGGATTTTCAAAATTTGTAGATTGTATAGATACATGTACATGAGAACTACAATGTTGTATGTGTAACATCATGGTCTACTTGTATAACCTAGTTGAATAATAACAATGATTTTTTATAATTCTAAGACTTAACGTGCTAGAATGAGATAATTAATTTTTAATTTTAATGATGTGTTCTATCTCTTCTGGTCTATGCTATAATTAAACAGGTCCAGGAAAATCACTATATATAGCTATATAGCTTAATTTACCTATATAGCTTTATTTACCTACATGCTTATTGTTATATAACATTTTTAAAAGTGTGTTTTAGGTGAATTAATTGTTTTCAGTCCATTTCAAAGTTGAAAACTAATAATGCTTCATTATGCATCTTTTTGTCTGCTTTTGACAAACAGAAATTTACTTCAAAATAGCTAAATAAAGTTAAATTATATGGGTAAATAAAGCTATATATAGGTAGATTTTGCTATACAGAGCTCTAAATATAGTGATTTTTCTGGACTTGTAAATTTGGAGAACTCATGGTCTAAAGGGTTATCATAACGATGGACATGTGTTACTCATTTACAGATATTGTCTCGTCTTATACAGTATTCAAACTTTACCTTTTGTCACATCAATGTTTCCTCAGCACTGCCATCACAGAATTTTTAGCTTTCATTGAGCAACTCGATCAGTCTCGAATATTACAGAGCTCTTTGTTTTCTCGAATATTCTCATCATTATTGATGCCATTCGCACAACCATGAAATATATTATGTCGCTTGCATCCACAGTCTCGTATTTCTATCAAATTCATTCAGAATGTGTTGAATTACAGCCATGACATGCATAAGACACGAAACTTCTCTCCGTTTCCAATGACGCATGGAAGCCGCCATTGCAACTTGGTGTAAACTACGCTTGAAAAAATAATCCGGATTTAATCGGATTGAAAACAACAAACCGTTACTTACCCCTCTGAAAAATAAATACAACGATTTTTATTTTCCTTTATTTTAATCCATAAACTTATATACAACATTCAGTTTGATTTTTTTGAAAACCGAATTACTCGCGCAAGCCAATTTTCCAAATTTTGGAAAAAGTTTGGAAAGCCTGTGGCAGTGGCGTTATTCGTAGGGAAAGTAGTCCCGGAGAATCGACACTGAATGGAGTTTGTGATCATGTGACTCTGTAAAAAGTTAGGCACATTTTGACGCGGGGTTTTATGAAACGTAAACAAATCATGGTGGGTCGAAAAAATACTCCCGAATCAAAGGGCAAGTATTGGTGTGTTGTACCAGGGTGCAATTCCGATTCAAGAAAGAAGAATAAACTAGATAAATATCCTTGGATGGAGGATGTCTCCTTTGAACCCTTCCCAACGAAACGCAAAGAGCCAAAACTTCGAGCGAAATGGCCGATCACCATGATACGGCGCCCCAAAGAATATGAACCTTTAGCTCATCACAGAGTTTGCACGAAACATTTCGTAGGAAATTGTCGCTCAGAAAATCATACAATCCCAGAACTTTTCCCATGGAATAATTACAAATCAGTATATACAACAAAACCCCTGTCTATTGAGAAGCGAGAACGAGCAATGGAGCAAAGTGCAACAGCACCTGCATTCCAAGACAAGGTATGACAAATGTAAATATATGAAAACTCAGGTATGACAAATGTAAATATATGGGCCAACCCTACATAAAGACAACAGCTAAAAGTATACAAATTACTTATCATTAATGTATGCATTTTTGAGCTAAGATCACCTTTATCAGCTGTTCATATCAGACATAGGTCCAGTCTTAGCACAATTATTTATTATTCACCTGATATCCATCTTAATTTGATATGATTACATGTGTATAACTAACATCTGAGGTTACCATCTTTTCCAAATACACATTACCTGGTAAGAACATCATATGCAGGGTTGTCCCCAAGGATTTGAAATAGTGGGTTGCATTTAAAAAATAGAAGGAAAACTTGGGGTTACTCCTCTAACAGTAAATTGAGGGACAATCCCAAAATAACCAAGGCATCATATGCCACTAATTTGACTAAAGGGGAGAATCCCCTGGCTCTCAGGTCTTAGGGACAGCCCTGTAATATGGAATGAATTTATTGTAAATAGAGCTGTCCTCATAATAATCACCCATGCAGTGTACATTCAATGAAGTTCTTTTGGACTAGTAATAAAAAACTATCTGTTACAGACCCAGCACATATGCTGCAAGTATCATTGTCATCTCAGTAACACGTACCAGTAGACATAAGTGTGGGCCTGCGCCATTTGCTGTGTATGAAACAGTTGTAGAGTCTTGCAAACTTTCAGAGTCAGGTACAAATTCTCGATCATTAAGTTTCAATTCATTACCCTGATACTGCACTGGGGATAAAACAGTACTCAGAATTTTTATTTATATCGATACATGTATAATTATACAAAATGTGCAGATGTTAATTGACAGAAAATTGTTTGCATTAATTATTTATGTATATATTTATATATATCATGTATATATTTACTTAGCACCATCCACAACTACTGAAACAGATCACAGCTACAGCAGACCACTTGTAGACAGGTTTCTAACAACCAGTGATGATGTTGAAGATAAAGGTACACAGACAGACCTCACTTCTGAAGACATGAACAACACTTCGAGAGAAAATGAACAATTAAAGGCAAAACTCAGTGATAAAGATGCACTTCTCAGAAACCTGTTCATTGAAAAAGTAACCAAAAATGACAAATCTATCCAACAATATACTGGGTTACCAAATTTAGAAACTTTTAATAAAATTAGTGACTTAACATTAAAGTATGAACCAAATTTGAAATACTGGACCGGTGAACATAGCGAAAACGAAAAAAGCTATCAAAATAGAGGGAATAAGCCGGGTCCATCTAGAAAGCTATCAAGGTACCAGGAATTGATCCTTACACTTGTGCGATTTCGCCTTGCATTGCCAGTGGTAGTTATGTCTGATTTATTTGGGGTGTCTTGTTCCAGAATCTCTTCTATATTCTCAACCTGGATTTTTTATATGTATTTCATGTTTAAAGATTTCATTTTCTGGCCATCCCGAGAACTAGTGAAGAAGTTCATGCCAAAATCTTTTTACAAATTTCCAAGGACCAGAGCTATCATAGACTGTTCAGAGATTTTCATTCAGAGACCCAGGGACCCCTCTGTAAATGCTAGGACATATAGTACATATAAATCTCACAACACCTTTAAATTTCTGGTGAACATTACACCAACAGGTGCTTTTAACTTTGTGTCTCAAATATGGGGAGGGAACACTTCTGACAGGTACATTACCATGAATTCTGGTTTCTTAGATTATGTGTCACCGGGAGACGAGATTATGGCTGACCGGGGTTTCACCATTCGAGATTTACTTACAGAGAGACATGCTTATCTGAATATACCACCATTTACTCGTAAGTGTACTTGGGGCAAAGGGAAGTACCTTACATCTACTCAAATTAAAAAAACCCGTCAAATTGCAAATTTGAGAATCCATGTTGAGAGAGCCATTCAAAGGTTGAAATCATTTAAACTTATTTCTCAGATTCTACCCTGGAGTATGAAATCTTTAGTCAATCCGATGATCATTTTAGGTGCATTCTTTTGTAACTTAAAGAAACCTCTTGTAACCAAGTGACACTGTATGCAGTTTGAATCAAATAAATCCCATGATCTCATTTTAAACAATATTTAATTTTGTCATCAATCTTGAAAAAAAAACGACAAATATCTGCATTTACTTTAGTGCTACTAACTTGCACTGTCTATGTTCAATTGTAAATCATGAGTTATACACTTGTACTACATTTACCATCTGTAAAACATGGTCAGATATTTGACATAAATCTATAGAAGTTACCATTTGTGAAACCTGGTCAGATAATTGACTGAATTCTGTAGAAGTTACATTTATCTTTGACAATGATTATATGGTTATTGATATCAGCTGAAAAAAATTTGTACAATTTTTTGTGTACCTGTAATCAAATGTTTAAGGCTGTTGATACTTATACTGTTTAACTCTAATCACGATCTAAGTGTATAATTTGATTCTGATATAATAAAGCAATCAATCACTCAGTATTTTATTTATACAACTTATGTCAAGAATTTGTGGAAAAAGATACAAGCTTTTTTTAAACAACAATCAAAGTATTCTGGATCAAATACAATTCTTTCAATTGCCATGTCTTTTCGGGTATATAATACAAAATCACACCACTGAAGCCCAGTGCAGAAAAGTTGAGTCTGAATTTGAGTGTACCATGAGGATGATCTATTCAATACAATATTATCCTCGTGTAAAAGTATGTGATAGTCATTACTTGCAGCAATGTCCTTGATAAAGTTATGCTGATGGGTGTATGAGCACTTAATTTCCACAATGCCATTACCACAACACTGGCAAGAAATTAAACTGTCTGGGGATGCACCTATAAAAGGATAATTTTCACTAATTACTAAACCAGATTTCATAATTTGGGCTTTTGAATGATCTTTAGAGTATTGAAAGAAGTATTGTTGAAGAGCTACACTTTCCATTGCTTTCCCATATTCTGTAGCTGCAGAAGAAAAAGAAGATCTGCCAAAAATTTTTTTCACAATATAGTTTTCTGTTGCAAGATTTTCAATTCTGCATTTGTAAACAGAACCCATCACCGAAGCTGTAATTCGACCTTTCCTGTATTTGTACCACATAGCATTATCTGTTTGATCCTTAGTCAAATTTTCTATTTGATTGATTACATCTTTTGAATGAATTTTTCTGAGATAATCAATCAACTCATTTTCATTTCCGATTGGATTTTGTTGTTTGTAATCACTTATTATATCACTGAGTTCCTTGATTTCTAATGAATCTTCTTTATCACTACTGTCATCCGAAGGTGGATCTACAGTGTGCATAAACACAGAACCATAATGTTTACATGTTTTGTACAATATCTTTGTGATCTCCCTGTGTGATATATGCCTTTGATTTGAAACCGGGTTGTAATTGTCTTTTTTATCTGGATGACTTGAATTCCTACGAAACGATATCTCCTCAACTGTGACTGGGTGTGAAGTTATCCTTGGTTTGTCCCACTTGCATGGTTTGTCTGTGCAGGTTTCCTCTCCCCTATCCTTGTGTCTCTCAGAAAAGGACTGAAGAGAAAATAACAAAGCCACGCAGTGTTTGCATGTTCCGTCATCACTGAAATAAAGTAAGGGTACCAAGTTGAATGCTCCAATTGTTGAAAAATATGTAGTAAATAATTACCGGTAATATGTAACTGGGAGGTATAAAGTTTAAAGGAGCTCCAGCACTACATCAAAGTAAAGAACCTGTTGGTATTCTCCATTTTTCATACATTAATATTTACATTCGCTGTGTTTTTCTACTAAGCCAACTGTGAAATTGATCATTTTCGTGTATACTCACGCGTAGAAATATACATGGAGAAACGTGAGTTAGTTACCGTGACGTCACAATAGGGCTACAGCGACATTAGTAAAAGTATAACAATATAGGGCAGCGAGAAATTCAAATATTGAATATATTTTCGGTGCTTCTAAACATGTAAAATGTAAATATAAGGAATGCTTTTAAGTTTAGTGTGAATTATTGGTGTGATAATCACACAGACTTGCATGTAGGCATATTTTACATGAAGCGCTAGCGCGCTTCATGAAATATGCCTACGTGACAAGTCTGTGTGATTCACACACCAATAACTCACACAAAACCGAAAAACATTCCTTAAATGTTTACTTTATCAAGTTTATGGTAAAATATTTTTTAAACTTATGGCAATCTGTTAATCACATATGAGCAAGAACTTTAAGATATTCAACATTTTTTTTCAACTATTCAATATACAAATATAAACATTTAACTTACGCAACACAAGTACAACCCCCAGATTTTACAGTGCCATCATTATCCATAAGAATCCATGTTGTGTATGGCTTTTCTGACTGTCTAGTTTCTGGAACACATGTACATTTTATATAGAAATGGTTGTACGATAAGAATTTGACAACAACATTGTCAATGTGTCTATGTTGAAAAAGTTTGTAGCCATTGTCATTTTTGTATGCCTTAACAGGTCCAGTCCAAAGACTACTTCTACCTACGTAGCTATTAATAGCTACCTAGGTATTTAAAGCTACCAAAAGTAGCTAATTTTACCTACTTTATATAATTTATGCATTTTGAGACCAAAAGACCAAACGGCGCAACATGGTAAATACCATATTTTTTGATATGGTCACACTAATGATGAATACGACAAAATTTTTGCCAAAAAATGATTACTTCCTGAATCGGCAATTTTACATTAGTTTCTATGCAAAATTGATAATATACGAAGTTTTCATTTTTTGGCCAAATTTTTGTCATATTCATCATCAATGTGACTGTATCAAGAAATTGTGTGCTCACCATGTTGCGCCGTTCCTGCATTTGGCCACAAAATGCAAGTAAAGCAGAAAGTAGGTAAAAATAGCTACTTTGGGTAGCTTTAAATACCTACGTAGCTATTAATACCTACGTAGGTAGAAATAGTCTTTGGACTGGACCTGCTTAAGCCGCGATTCGGTCCACGAGCACTTTGTCATTAGGTAAACCATGATGTCCCCTGTTTCAATATTTGGAAGTAATGACAAATCTTGCTGCCAGTCTGATACGGAACAGATATCAGGTAAAGTCACAGAAGTTCCTTGGACTATCACACTTCTTCGATTTGCTCTCTCAGTCTGATAATTCCCGTAATTCTCCGTCTCAGGCTCTAGATTTAACGCAGATGCAGCTTCTGCAATACGTATTAATGCATCTTTGCGATAAAGTGATGTATTGATGCCTCTATCTGACAAAAATGCCTTCAATTCAGCCACGGATTTGTTTCGGTGACTTTCCGCCGCCATTTTGAACAAAATATGCCTAACTTTTCATCACGTGATGATGAAAGTCACGTGATAGATAAAGTTAAAAGGGGGATCCCGGAAACGACGTATTTCTCGGTAAGCCTCGATTTGAAATTACAAAAATTAAATAGGAATCAGACCAGACTCTCGCTCGGGCAAAGTCTCGAGAGCGAGAGTCTGGGGAAAACGAGACTATGTACAATGTTAAGTAAAATTTAAAAAAAAGTGAATTTGAGATATCTTGATTTTGTTCTTTCATATTTATGATACTGCAGCATTTGAATTTTATGAGAAACATTTTTTTTCTAAGATAACCGAGAAAATACTAGCTATGGTTACCTGCCCTTGATTAAAGTCGCTGCCGCTAGGAAATAAAGGTCTGTTTACCAACGTTAACCATCGGTCTAAGTAACAGGAAATCTCATTCAGCATTGCACTGCTAGTAAGTATTTTCCTTTTTACTTTGATTGTCGCTTGAACAAAAAGGAGCTAGGTTTGAGTTTAATCAGACAGATGTTAATATAATCTAGATCCTAGTATTTGTGTATGAAGTGTGGGTCACCTACAACTGCTGCCACATTCATGACATGATATCGTGATTTTAGGAATATTTATCACTTCTTACGAATACACATATTAGGAAAAACGTTACGCAATTTTCTGTCAAACAGTAAGCTAAATAAATGAGTATAAGAGTGTATTTATATTTTATTTATCATGTGTGTAATAGAGAATCGTGTGGATATGTATGGACTATATGTGATTTAACCCCATAACTGACCAGATTAACTTATCAGATTAACAACAAATGTTTATCTAAGCTTTGTTTGACAAGAACTGTTTACCTGTAGACTTGAAAAATGAAGTAGAGATTTTCAATCGAGGTTCAAATAATAAACGTGAAAATAAACATCAGAATCCGATTAAGTCAATAAAATGTGTTTGGATGAAACACATATGGTGATAACTTACGGTAAGAAAGTCCATTTTATTTCAATATGACTCCAACTTGCCACAAATGAGATTATTTGTCATATAATCAAGCTTTGTTTATTATCTATATTTATCAATATTCATCTAATAGATTCTGTTTACCATTTGTTGTCGAAGTACATCATTTTAAGACTGATGTTTAAAATTCTAACATATGCATACAGTGTATTTACTTTCAATAATTTAATTACTCAGAAATCTGACAATAATCACTATACAAGACCTATATCAGATGGTAAAACTTTTGTCCAATTCTATTGATTATGTTTTTATAAGATATGCTTAAAACAAGCGACTTTTTTTTTATAATGATCAGTTATCTTAAAAGATATATACACTGTACAGGTAGTATTAAAGTGTATGGGGACATTTACTTGGTATTAAATCATAGCATTTTCTTTTTCCTTCAGAATAACAACAGTACTATGGATAAAAGTCAAGGAACTGGGCAGCATTATATAGAGTGTGCAACCTGTACCAACTACTCAAACTTCTATTGCAACAGCTGTCACCAGCGAATGTGTGAGCAGTGCAGAGAGAGCCATATCAATAAAAATGAAATCATAAATCATGAAATAGTTCTTTACCAGGATAAAACAAAAGAGTTACCGAAACAAAAATGTCATGTTCACCCTACCAAAATGATAGAACTAGGCTGTATTGATTGCAAAGCCTTTCTCTGTCCTAAATGCTTTGCCTTAGCCCATAATGGTCACAGAATGCTAGATTTAGAAATAGCTTACAATGAAAGTTTTAAACATTGTCAGAAGGAAATGTTCGAGATCCAAGACATTCTTTTACCGCAATTGAGGCAAAATCTTCAGATAAAGCAGGAAAGTGTAACTACTGTTAAAAAACAGATAAAGGAAATAAGGTCATCCATGAGGAAGAGAGCAGACGAGATCATAAAAGCTATCGAAACTATTTTTAATGACAATAATTCTATGCTTGAAAGAATTGAAAAATCTGTGCTTGGCCACATGGACAGAGAAAAAGAAGAGACAGAAGATTATATTTCTTATCTTGAAGAATTGTCAGAAAATCTAAACAAGGGTTTGTCATCCGAGAAAGCTTCTGATTTGATTACGTTTTACTGGAAAATAAATAAAACTCCCAGAAAGGCAATTCCCGAGAACAGACAGGCAATGTTACCAAAATTTCAAGAAGGTAAAATGAACACAGTAGAGCTAGAAAAACAGTTTGGTAAAATCAATATGACATTGGAAGAATCTGAAGAGGCTCTGAAAATTTCTAAAGCAGAAAAAATATATACTGATGATACAGGAAGATGTAACCTTCAACTATCAAAGCAAACAGTGAAGGTAAGGAATATCGATCTTTCGGTATTCAGAAGTATATTTCATATAACGAGAATGAAATCAGGAAATTTTTGGGCAAGTGACAGTGAAGGAAATCTCAATCAGTTTGACCCAAAAGGAAAGTTGGGAAAACAAATAACCACCGGCAGAAGTTCATATGGCTACCATGCAGTCACTAATGAGGGAGAATTGCTGTATGCAGAAAGAGAAAAGAAAGCTGTTTTCAGGCTGTCAACCGATATGATGGAAAAGAAAATAATTGACACAATGTGCTGGGTGCCACAATCAATATATACATCTAAAATAAGCGGAGATATACTTGTTGGGATGGGTCATGAATCAGATTGGGAAGTATGTAAATTGACTCGATTTAGTACAGAGGGGATAAAATTTCAGGATATACAAAAGAATGAAAAGGGAGAGAACCTCTTTAAAAGTACCCACTATATCACAGAGAATATAAATGGTGATATCTGTACTTCAGATACCCGTGGAGAAAAAGTGGTAGTTGTGACAAAGTCAGGCAAGCATCGATTCTCTTATGATGGACACCAAGCTCAACTAGAATTTCAACCTTGTGGGATCTGCACAGACGTTCTAGGACACATCCTAGTGTGTAATGGTTTTTATGGCTTCTGCAGTAGATTCTTCAGCATCCATTTGATGAACAAAGATGGACGTTTTCTTGGTTTTATACTCAGACCACAAAAATGCCCAGGAGCACCAAACACGCTCTGTATTGATGGTGAAAAGAACCTCTGGCTGGGGACGGAGGATAACTCATCTGTCCTTGTGTATAAATACCTCGAAAACAAAGACAAGTAATAAAGTTCTGCCGCATAAGTATCAAGCACATGCTTAGAGACATGAAACATAAAGTACTATATTAACTCTGAGAATAATAGTTATAAATAAGGGTGTCAATTTTATTCGGACGGCTAAGCGGCTTAGTTGAATAGTTTTTAGGCTTTGTAGGCTTTAGTTGAACTATAGTAGAATATTTGTTGAAACTTTGATTATTTTTTATTTACAGGTAATTTTATTTACATGTCATTTTTACTATTTGTCATTTAAAAACTAGTTGTACAATATTTTACCTTGTAAGCTATCATCATTATACAAAGAATATCTTAATTGTAAACATTTAAGTTGTACAATAAATACAATTATGCATTTGATACATAAACTCAGTACTGACGTTTTTCATACTAATTGAAAGTCCAGTGTCTGTACGACGACGAATTGACGACGGATTTTTCCGTTATTTTTCGATCAGATCGAACACAAGCAAATTCCTCAAAACGGGAAAAAATTTACATTTGAGTGCATAATAGCTCAGTTTTCACACATATCTATTAATTCATCAAAATAACCTATTTATTTCAACACCTTAGCCCAAATACACCTGACAAATTGTTGATACCCCCCAGCCACACACACACTTCCTTCTTCTGAGATTATCTTAGACACAATAACTGCAAAATACGTAGCATATAAATCTTTCCAAAGTGTTAAGATATTTGAAGTAAAAGTGATGGGTCCTTCTGATGAAACTTTAAAACTGAGGCCCCGTGTCACGACAGGCGTTAGCACGATAAAGATTTTATTGCTTAAGATTTTTAATTATTGTTACCAAAAGTATTAAGCATTTTTGTCAATAATATTTTCAGAATCTACACTCCAAGCTTAATAAAAAAAATCAAAACAAAAAAAAAGGGTGTCAGTGAGCTTCTTTTAGCTCTATACAGAGCAATTTTTTTTGTACTACAATTACGCCTAACAACTTTTGAAAGTTTTTCCTTTTATATAAAAATTATCTAAGTGAGTTATTCGATCAAAATATACTAACACGCAAAAGAAACACAACACCCTACTATAGGGGGAAATAATTTTGTAAAGTAAAGAATTTTTTTTCTTAAAATTATGGATATCTTCATTTTGGTAAATATCGGTAATTTAACGTTGAATGATTTTCATACAATAACCAGAAGTCAAGTTTGAAACTGCCTAACAGAAATCAAAATGTGCATGTGTAACAAAACATTTGGCAACATTTATGGAGTTTTAAGGGTTTGTACTGTTAATTTCAAGTAATGCAGCAATATTTCAAAAGAATAAAGTCTTCTTTCGTTTCCCGTAACGATGTTAAGGCTTCTTGAAAATGGCTTAAGTACGCATTTTAATTGCTCTAGCTGGAAAATCTCAAAGTAAAGGTGATGGAGAGTTGATGAAGCAAAAATACACTATATTACGCCTGAACGGGGTCTTTCGTATCATATGCATAAATGACAGTCCTTGAACCGGAAGCTAAGGGTTACTACAATGCGCTAAGTTCGACCTAATCATCTGAAAAACAGCATTTAAAAATGGCAAAGAATAATTCTTTCTTTCAGGTCTCGATATTGATTTGCATATTGTATCGTAGAAATTAAGCTGCAATTGTTGTTTAGGGCAGTCTTGCACGTTGTATTAAATTGAATGGCTGGGGTGGGGTGTTTTAACAGTCATATGTTTCTTACAATGTAATAAAGTTAAAAGATAAACATTTAACATATTTATCAAATCTCTGATGTTCTGAAAAGTGAATTTAGCCTTACTGTATTCTTTTTTGAAAATTATTAGATAAAAATTCAAACATTTGTAGATTACTGCTTGTTGCGGTTTTTTTTTTGTTTTGTTTTTGTTTTTGTTTTTGTTTTTTTTTTGTTTTGTTTTTTGATTTTTTTTGGTTTTTTGTTTTTGTTTTTTTTTTTGCGTTTCAATATACAATCATGTTTCATCTTAAAAGGTTAAATAAAAATTCGATCACAAAAAATTTTAATTAAATACTAATATGGGTCGGATACCTTAAGTATAATTCATTTGTCAATATTAGCACATATGAAGTTACGTTTGAAAAATATATAGAACTGTAAAAAATAGTTTTGCAACACATTATGTTAAAATCAAGTATACCATGCGAATATTCTTGTAAGACAATTGCATACGGGAAAAATCAATCAGCATTATGTTCATTTCATGAAAGCTTTTAAGCATAAATAACGAAATCAAAAACCAGAGGTCACTTTCTAAGCTGGTGGGAGAAAAAAAATCGTGTTTAAAAAATTTTTCTAACTATAAATCTGTTTAATTTTACATTGGGTAAATAATTTTCAAAAATCAAATAAAGTCTCAAATGTTCACTAGTATTTTTAAGAAGTTTATCGTTTTTATTAATATTAAAACAATTTAATTTTTCATTTTCAAAAAGGTTTGAAATATTTGAAATGCAAAAAGAAAGCTTTTAAAATCAATAAATTTGAATTACCTACTGTTACAGAGAGTTAGATATCCCCCTCTCCCATTATAAATCTGTTTTATCACTCTCATGCATGTATTCATTAGATAATTAAACACTAGTACGATTCTGATTACCTGCCGTAGTATGATTCTGATTACCTGCTGTAATACGATTCTGATTACTTGCCGTAGCACGATTCTGATTACCTGCCGTAGTGGGATTCAATCCCGCAACTTAAGAATCCTTACACTAGCTGTGACTCTAGCGTAGACACTCTAATCACTTCGCAACTTGGGCGACAATATACCGTCAGTTTTAAGGTTGTTTTTTCATTTTGGAATATTTTTTACATTTTGGACATTGTTGTTTAGTTTCAAAGAGTCACTCCTCATCTCTTAAAGTATAGGTAACCCTTTATGTTTCGCGCATTTTGTGAATTTAATAAGTTCTTTTTGAAACAAAAAAACTTTTTTATTAAAACCTTTTAAGTTGTATCTTGTTGCATGCATTTTATCTCCAAGCAAATTGAAATTGAAATGAAATCCTGGTTGTATCAAAATTTTAATTCAATGATTATAAAAAATCAAATGCAATATCATATTGACGATGCCCAATTATTTCCTTCAACATAGTACCGTGTGCAAGGCAAAACAATGCGATATGAATACAACTTACCTCACTCTAGAACGCCAGACCCAAGGAGAAGTATTCCTCAGATACAGCGACTTTAATCAGCCACAGGCGTCTGAAAAGTTAGAGATTTGTATCAACCAACCTCAAAAACATAATGCGTAAGTAAATTGATTCATCAAGTTTAAATTTTATTCATCAGAAAAGAAAAATTATGCATTCTTTTTGGTTCAAACATCTTAAATGTTTACATATTCGTGAAATGTAAATACACACTAATTAAGATATGTAATAACCGACGGTATAACCATAAACTTCAAAAATAGAAAAGAGACAACACATATTTGACTTGTAATGGGCGGGAAGCATTTAATTTGTTTTTAAATAAAGCGCAGGGATCAACATTTAATCTATATTTGTTCATGTTTTAACGGTAACATGTAGTTTTTTAGATATGAGAATTCTGAACGGGTTTAGAGAATTGGAATTAACAAACATTCACTAAGTGCATCATATAGTAAGGTTAGTAACATGTAACCATGCGTCGGACATATACCTTGCTTCGGACAACTTCATGCAATAAACTTTCTTTAAACCTGAGTTTTCTTGCGGAATGATCAAACACCTTCGCGAACTATCTCTATATCTATAAAACCAAAGTTCAGATTAGAATAAAATTTGTTTCACACAGAGCCTTACACAAGTTCTGTAAATAGCATATTCTGTATAATGTTTTGCTCCTTTTGACGTCAAATATGAAAATGACGTCACTTTATAGATCACTTGTGACAAAAAAAAAAACAAAAAACAAAACAAAACAAAAAAAAAACAAAAAAAAAAACAAAAAAACGGTTGTCTCAGTCGGACTCGTTCAACATACGACTGTACAACTATGATAAATCTTGGAAATTCGTTTGCAGTAGCGTATGATAATTGTTCTGTTGCCCAGTGAAAACAAGTTTGAAAAGAAATGTGTTTTTTAATTAATCATTTATCATATTTTGTATCATTGAACGGGAATAATCATCAACAGAACGTTCGCGACCGCTCGCCAATATTTCCTATACAGAAAACAATCAAATCTACGACATGCACGACTATTGCATCAGCCGTAATATAAATGCATGTGTAACATCATTGTTTAATGCGCAATTCCAATGAAATTTTAGTTTGTAAAATGAAATGAAAAATAATGATGAATGATTATTAAATAAAAAATGAAGTGAGATGAAATAAAAATTTAAAAACGATTTTTTTTCAGTATTACGGAAGTCGGCTTTGTACCGTTCCAGTTTGGAGTTTATAAAGCGCATTTTGTTTCCTGTTCTGACAGAGTTAGTTGCACGCGGATCGAACCCTGGAGTGGATGGAAAACTGTTTTTAGTCAAATGAGAAGATTTTGAAAAAAAAAAGCATTTCATAAATTACATTTATGATTAACTTTTTAGATTTTCTAATAAATATAGAGGGATAGCTGAAACAAACGGTCTATTGAAGACATGTTGGCACTTACAGTTACACATCTGTTTAGTTTAGGTCTATGGTTTTACTATGCAGTCAAATTAAGGACGTCGAGTATCAACTCTGATATCTCGACACCTCGGATATCTCGACATTTTTCGATTGTCCCGTCGATGTCGAGATAACGAAGTTTAAGTGTACTTCCGATAGAAATGTTCTGCACTCGCTCTGTTGAACAGGCTTCAGATTTTATGATTTTGCAGCGTTTAGAGTTGTCGTTCTTTTAAATTCGTCTTAAACGAAACGAGTTGAATTTTTTCAATGATTGGCAATTCTACATAACTTTTAAGGATGACGTTTTCTCAGGTTTCAGAAAACAGACAGGAAATTTTCTAAAGTATTATATGTAAAATCAAAAATTTATCTAAATGTATAAAATAACCAAGTTTTAACT